CGTACCTTTGCCTTTTTGTATGAGCATTTTTTATTGTCTGAAAGAATGTTGCTGTCAAAAAGTACGCACATGATTTGTATGGTGTTAGTATGAATGTGTTTTTAATCTCCTAAGTACGCCTTGGGCCCATGCTGTGGGGAAAGGCGGGATACAAATGCTCTTATTATTATTAATTTATGTCAGGAAGAAAACTTTCTTTTAGTTTAGTTTAGTATGGGGTTTTACAACGCTCGCAACTGCATAAGGTCATATGAGCGCGCGAAACAAGTTTTTTTTTTTTTCTCAACGGTTCATTTCTCGGCTTGATACTGGTCAATATTTCTATTAAACATTTTTTTAACGTTAAAAATTGAGTGTAAATAGGCTTTAGATTTAAATTTAAATTTACAACAACTTTCTAAATAACTTTAAAATTTCAAACAATCTATTTTATAACTTTCCATGGCCTTGACAAAATCTAAAATGCTGTTGGGACGGAAAAAATATCTTGTAATTTTTTGCATTTATAATATTTCCTTCGGGTCTCTCTAAAGTCTAGACATTCTGTTAAAATGTGACTAATGGTAAAACCTGTGTCGCATCCGACACAGAACGGCTTCTCTTTCCCCTGAAGGAGGTGTTTGTGTGTTAGAGCCGTGTGTCCGATGCGTAATCGAGTAAAAATGACTTCGTCTCTTCTGGAGAGGTCCGAAGGATTTCGCGGTCCCAGTTTGGGTTTAATGTTGTGGAGTTCGTTATTTGTTTGCTTTTTCAAAGGCTCTCCCACAGACTGGAGGTGTACTTTTTTACTTTATTTTTAATTTTAAAGTCAGTCTGTGGGAGAGTGCTCGTCGTAGACCCCAACAGAAGGGATAAGGATTTTTTCGCCAGATGTCCACATGGCTAGGTGTCCATCCATGCGCACACGATACTTTTCCCTGTTTCAGTCAAGGTGTGTGTTTTCTGTTGTAGCCTAACTATTTTTGGGTGTAGGAGTGTGTAGTTCGTGAGTGAGGTGATGCAAGACAAAGAGTCAGAGAGGATAAGGAAAGATTTGTTAGGAGAATTTTCTATGGAGTCCAGTGCCATGTCAATGGCTTAGGATGGAGTCTCCTCTGGTGTGTACTGTTTGAAGATAGAGCTGCGGCGCCCTCATCATTGTCTTTTTTGGAGCCGTCTGTGAAGATAAGCTCTGCACCGGGGTATTTATCTATAATTTTTTTGTATTCCGTTTTAAATGCTTTGGTGTTTGTGCTTGCTTTGTCGTGTGCGGTCAGCTGTAAGTCTACTTGTCTTGGTGAGGTGCCACGGAGGGAGGTCGGGGAAAAGAAATTGTTGGATGTCTTGTTTGGAAAAGTATATGTTCTTGAGGTCCTCAAAGGATTCTGAGGCCGAAGAGTTTGATGAGTTTTTTGTTGTTTAGGAATTTGTTTATGGTTTCTGGGTTTGTTTTAAAAATGCCGTTGTGTGCTGGGTTCTCTGGTGTTGAGCTCTGTTTAATTGCGTATTGTAGAGAGAGTTGTGTGCGTCTGAGTGTGATTGATGGTATGTTTCCCTCGGCCTGGAGGCTCTCCAACGGAGAAGTGCGGAAAGCCCCCAGAGCGAGACGGAGTCCTTGGTTTTGCACTGGTTTTGCGGGGGAGGCAGAGTGTTTTCTAGGTTGCCGTCCTGAACTGGACGGCAGCCTAGTGGGGGATTTGGAGGAGTGACCGACTCCGCCCTTCCCGGGGTCAGTCCAGGGAGGGGTGTCGGAGCTGTCCTCCTCCATGGGCTCCGGGGGTAGGGGGGGTAAGGGGGTGTCTGTTGGAGGGGAAGGGGGAGGTGGAGCAGACAGAGAGAGCTGGGAATAGGGGAAAGGATGCACCTCACGCTCCATTAGAGGGATGAGGTCTGAGGTGGAAGAAGCAGAAGAAGAAGAAGAAGAGGAAGAAGAAGAAGTGATAGAGGAGGGGGAGGGGGAGGAGAGAGGGCGGAGGGAGAATCCACCCTGTCCTCCCCATGAACCTCAAAGCGGTTTGTCAGTGGTATCTCAATGGACTGTACCACAGGGGAAAGAACGGTTCGGCACACAGGGTCGTATGTCTGAGACCAAATACGATGCCCGAACGGTGGCTGGAGGGCGACACGAATCAAAGGTCATGATGACCGTGTTGGTTTCGAGGGTGGTCTCCCCTCGCCGGAGAGTAATCTGGCAGGCGTGGGTCACACCGTCGCAGTTTGCCACAATTTCCTCCACCCTACAGCCCTTTAATCTTTCTTTAGTTTAGTATATAACTGATCATATGTGTAGAAATGGTTGAACAATTGAAATTCATCAAAATTGAATACTTAATGAAAATTTGATTTTTTACCCCATTTCCCACCCGCATATTCCCTTAAGAAAGAAGACTTTCAGAACAAACAAAAAAAGAGGCTTATCCCTGTCTGCATTTTCATAAAACACACCCAAAGTTCTGTCTTAAACATTACTCATCTTATTAATAAAACTTAAAAAAATAATACTACTATCTTCATTTCAATAAACATTTAAAACGTGTAATCTTTCCCTTTAGATCCAGGCTTGATCCTGAGTAGTACATTATTCTAATCTTTGACAGTAAAATGTCCCAGTCTATGCATTTTGGTGACATTGTAAATATTCACACTTCCTCACTGTGCATTTTGCAAATTGTTTAGTTGAAATCCAGAATTTGATACCATTGTTACCAAAAGTTCAAGTTTCAGGGTAATTTCCTATATACTGCAGTAGTCACTTGCCGTTACATCTTTCAGTAGTAAGAAAACATAACCGAAAAAGAACAAAATGGAGAAAGAGTTATTGAATGACAACTGAATAAAAATTCCTTACCATTTTTTGACATTTTGTTTGCCTTCAAAATCAGGAGGAAGAAGACTTAGTCTTGTCATAGTTTCAGCCAGCTCTCTCAAATCTGGATGAATCTGAAATGTTCCATTTCAAAGCATTCATTACAGGGTAAACAACAATCTTCAAATAACCCCCACAACAAACCAAATCATCCTATATAATTAATTGACAAATCGTTTAAGTTCATGATACTACTCTGAACCCCTTCTACAGATGAGCATGATCACCTTTACTCATCAGTGCACTGGACGTACGCCTCGTGTACAACCAATATTTTATTTGAGCTCAGATGTACAGGTCTTGTAGGCTTGGAGGGGGAATGAGGATGCAGAGCTCAAAAAGTTAGGCTGTTGGAGTTGCAGTTAAAAGATTGAGGGTTCCATTTCCTGTTTCATCTGATAGTACATAATATGTATCACCAGTAGAAAGTCTCCCCCCCCCCTCCCTAAATTTCATCCAGCTGCAAATAGGCACTTGGTGGTCTGTACCTATATGGAGAGTAAGGAGGGAGTCAAACTGAAATTTTTACTCGAGCAGAAGCTAGTTTCCTTAACACCATCAAATGCTGTTTTCTTTCCTGTATACATTGATACCAAAAGTACATTTCTGTGATGACTATCAAGGTAATTATGGCATTTTTCCTTTTTTTTTCCTCACTCCCCCATATTGCAACCTTGCAAACTTAGCTGAAAAGCCATTTTTGACAAAAACTAAGACAGCCAGACACTTAACTCTTTCCGGACGTACCGCCAATATATTGGCTATGATGGGGTGCCTCAGTTTTGTTTCGTTTTAACATGATCCATTATTTATAAGTACTTTTTATTGTTATTCAAAAATTGGAGAAGGTTTTAGTAGTAGTAGTAGTATAGGGTTTTACGGCGCTCGCAACTGCTAAGGTCATATGAGTGCGCGAAACACAAGTTGTTTACTTTCGCAAAAGTTCACTCCACGATTGGTTAACTAATTGACTTTAAAATGCTAAAATGTTAAAATATTAAAATTTAGTGTAAATATATTTGTGATTTAAAACAACTCTTATCGGTAACAATAAAAATTTTAAATAGTACGTTTTCATTTTTCATTTTACAACTCGCCATAAAGGCCAATGGCCTTTATAAAATTCAAAATTCTGCTGGGAACAACGACGGAAAAAATATCTTGCAATTTCTTGCATTTATAATACTTCCTTCGGATCTCTCCAAAGTCTAGACATTCTGTTAAGATGTGTCTAATGGTAAAATCTGTGTCGCATCCGACACAGAACGGCTTCTCATCTCCCTGTAGGAAATATTTGTGGGTCAGGGCCGTGTGTCCGATGCGCAATCGAGTAAAAATGACTTCGTCTCTTCTGGAGAGGTCCGAAGGATTTCGCTGTTCTAGTTTGGGTTTAATTTCAAATAATTTATTATTTTTCTGCTTTTCCCAGTGGCTCTCCCACTGGAAGTGTACTTTTTGACTTTATTTCTAAAGTCAGTCTGTGGGAGAGTGTTTGTCGTTGATCCCAGCAGAAGGGATGTAGCTTTCTTCGCCAGTTCGTCCACCTGCTCGTTTCCTCGGATGCCCACATGGCTGGGTATCCATGCGAACATGATGTTTTTTTCCTGTTTCGGATAGTGTATGAATTTTCTGTTGCAGCCTAACTATTTTTGGATGTAAGAGTGTGTAGTTTGTGAGTGAGGTGATGCAAGACAGAGAGTCAAAAAGGATAAGGAAAGATTTGTTAGGAGAATTTTCTACAGAGTCCAGTGCCATGTCAATGGCAGTGGCCTCCGCAGTGAAAATGGAGGCTTCAGGATGGAGTCTCCTCTGATGTGTATTGTTGGGAGATAGGACTGCGGCGCCCACTACATTGTCTTTTTTGGAGCCATCCGTGAAGATGAGCTCCGCACCGGGGTATTTATCTATTAGTTTTTTGTATTCTGTTTTAAAAGTTTTGGTGTTTGTGCTTTCTTTGTTGTGCGTGGTCAGCTGTAAGTCTACTTTTGCCTTGGTGAGGTGCCACGGAGGGAGGTCGGGGAAAAAAATTTGTTGGATGTCTTGTTTGGAAAAGTGTAAGTTTTTGAGGTCCTCAAGGATTCTGAGGCCGAAGGGTTTGATGAGTTTTTCGGTTTTTTTGGAATTTGTTTATGGTTTCTGGGTTTGTTTCGAAAATGCTGTTGTGCGCTGGATTTTCCGGTGTTGAGCTCTGTCTTACTGCGTATTGTAGTGAGAGTTGTGTGCGTCTGAGTGAGAGTGGTGGTATGTTGGCCTCGGCCTGGGGGCTCTCTACCGGAGAAGTGCGGAAAGCCCCCAGAGCGAGGCGGAGTCCTTGGTTCTGTATTGGGTCTAGCATTTTTAAGATGTGTGGTTTTGCCGATCCGTAGTCAAGCCTGGACCGGACAAGGGAGATGTACAAGTGGAGAAGGTGATTTGAGTCCCCGCCCCACTCCGGATTCAATAGTATTTTCAATGCGTTTAACGCTCTCTGGCACCTCACACAAAGGTCTATGATGTGTGGTATGAATGTGAGTTTTTTGTCAAAAATGACGCCGAGGAAACGAGCTTGGTCCTGGACGGGAATCCTTTCCCCGTATAGTGTCAAATCCGGCTGCAGCACACGTCTGCCTGTTCCTCAGAAGTGTACTGCAACCGTCTTTGACGGGGAGAACTTGAAACCGTTGTTGTTTGCCCACGTTTTGAGTTTGTGCATCTGCGTTCGCAGCTGCCTTTCCATAGATTTCAAATGAGGATTTTTCGAACGGCAGCATATCAAAAAGTCGTCAACGTATAACGAGCTTGGAGGGTTTTCACTATGGAATTTATTTTAATTTCGAATAGGGGAGGAGAAATGATGCTCCCCTGGGGGACTCCTTTTTCCTGTTGATGGGGGTCTGAAAGGGAGGATCC